AAGGAAAAAGACTCATCAATAATAGGGATTGCATTAATATCAGAGCAGTGTTAACCGATACCGCGGTTAAGATAAGTACTACATGAATAATAATCTGGCGCTTTAGAAATCTATAGCAGTATCCAGCACTTGCGGCTGAGATATTAAGGAAATTATTTTCCTTTTTGTAGTTACTGCGCTTATACAAATCAAAAATCATATCAAACAAGCATTTTTTTACAAACCGTCAAATACAAAGTTATAGATCTCGATACGGCGATACCGAATATGTAACTAACTCAATTTGGTAAAAAATGTTGGATACGGCGGTTATAATAAGCACGGCAGTATACGAGGGCTGCTATTTATGTATCCGGAACTGGCCAGTTACAGAACAATATTAAAAAAGTAATTATAAAAACTTAAAAATGGAATTCTTTGGCTGAAGAATGCAATTTGTATCATGTAGCTGTCATTTGTTTATCCAATGTGGCGTCATTTTGAAAATTGCGTTTCTTTATCACAATTGATTTAACTCGTGAAAAATTTCGTGCTATGATTCACTATGATTTTCAGCGAGGCGACTTAGTTTTTTTAAAAATACAAAATTTAGATTATGATTTTGAGGTTTTATGTCGCACTAGAAGAAAGGGCGGAACCCGGCGGGATTCCTACTTTCCAGGTGGTTTAAAAAGAAATAACCAAGAAGGTATAACCAAACCTGTCTAGGACAGGGTGGGTGCAAAAGAGATTGCGGAAGTAGCGACATTGTTATTGTGTTTATCAAACAATATGGTTAAAAAATAAAATTTCAATAAGCCTGCCCTTATTATTATTTTATATACCCATATTATCTTATACAAACTTAAAAAGTCAGAAGTAATAGTGCATTAGTTTGCTCGCGCACATTTAATGATCATCTACCGCCGTCACAAGTGCGTTGCCGCCCTTGGAGTCCCTCCCGCTCGAGTCAGCGGGAGGGTGGATTTGGGCTCCGGTAACCTCACTCACTCAGTGAAAGACAACGAAAGAATTGCTTAACACAAGTTTTCTATCTTTGTTATTCCCGTTATTATATATATCACTAAATACTAACACCACATATCATTGTCGGCCATTTTTATGAAATATGTCACATTTTTTAAACAATATTTTGACACATTTCACACGGCCGTCTGATCCCGAACTACTCAGAGCCTGTATATAATAACCAAACTGGTGATATACATACATATACATTTCTAAATACATACATAAAATAGATGAATTACACCCAAACACAGAACAAATGATACACAATTATTTGTCCTGGGTGGGAATCGAACCCACGACCCCTGGCGTAGCACTCAGGGTCACTAACCACTAGACCAACAGGCCTAAGACATCAAAGTAGTAGTAGTAGTTCATATCATGGTCAGCCACCTGCCTGACACCGTCTTTCCTTGGGGCTGTTTTCCGTTTTTAGGCCGGCTAATAATAAATTTGAAAAATATACTCCTTTTTTTTCGAATGCTCTAATCCACTCAAAATGCCTAGTAAGATTCTGAAATATACTAGGATATAAGATTCTAACTAATTAGTTGGCCATATATTAATCACGAAGATTTCGTCTTCGGTTTTCGATATAGTTTTGTCTCGATACAACTGTGAGAAAGTCAGTGTTTACAATTTTATGTATCATCAGAGTATAGAATGACATATTTTCATTAAACATAGATTGTTAACATCGTTAAATAGGTGAATGTAGACAACAGTCAGCGTAATTAATCACCAGATTATTATTGTCTACACCGGAATATGTCTCAATAGATTGACCCGAACAATCTATTGTCAAACGAACAATGTTGTTTGGCACGCCTCAAACTCGCATCCATATATAGAAGCGAATAGTTTTGTTCATTTCCAGTGAGATTTGTAGAGAGTAAGAGTACACACGTACATGTCATGACAGACATGAATCGTATTGTTTTAACATTATGTCTGTTTTCGCGAGTGATTTATAGTTCTAACTCTGAAGATCATGTGGACTTTCATACAGCAACAAGACAGCCTAGATCGCCAGCAGTGCCTTCAGAAGATGGATATGTGTTTAATCAATTTAGTGATAGTTCGGGAATGTATGCTATGTTTGCTAGTGAAAACACAAAACACAACCCATATACCGGTTTGGATCTTTTCGAATTTAAATCTTCCGACAAATTAGGACTTGACACGCCACATTATTCCGATATTTCGAGTTTACCTGACATTGTACATGACAGTATACCAACACACACTGTAAGTCCATTAACTTACGATACAAATTATGAAATATCAAAAGCTAAGTCGGATGCCAAGTATGCCGAATTGGCTAACAAATATACGCCGCTAGACTTTAAATCGGATGGAATGATGCAAAATTTAAAATCAATGATGCATTACGCCCCACCCGAGCACGATACGAAAGACTCATTCTCCTCATACGAGATCCACACGGATTATCACAATGATGACGATGACGTAAGATCGAGCGGCAGAACTATGTACGATAATTACTGGCCTCACATTTACCACAGCCCTTACGAATATGAGTATAAAAAGGGGATATCTGATTTGGAAAAAGCTAAAGATAAGCGTTATGTTGACGAATCATTAATAGTAAAGCCCGTATATGAACATATTGACAACGATATTCCAAGTATTGACACAGAACAACTTCATATTGAAACCTCCACTGATAATCCTATAGGTGGTAACGGACCATTCTTCTCGTTTGTATTGAATGATTATTTTGACAGGAATAAAGATGAAGATCCAATTTCTTTTAAAGGAATAGATGTAGACTGGGGAAAAGAGTTTGACCACGAAAGCTATAGACCATCAGTAGAAGACGTTTTGAACTCACAAAGAGAACGTCGATTACAGAACAATTATGTTACACCATTGACCCAATGGTTAACTACGGCACGACCGCTATACATGCATGCCAGGCCAATTGACTCTGAAAACACAGGTAAAGGAGGAGATACAAGGTCCCCGAACACGATGATACCTTTTACAAAGTTCCATTTGCCTATACATGGCCCGTTAGATGAGAGTTCTCCAAGTATCCCACACTCTAATAACTATTTAACCTCAGTACAAGGTTTACAGAAAGACGAAGGTATGAATAAAAATCATGATTCTGAAAAACGCAACATTGGTAAAAATAGCTATTCAAATGATAAAACAGGTTATAATGCCAATGAGCATAAATACGAAGGATTCAAAGATTTTCTAGACAGTTTTGCCAATAAATTTGGTTCAGAGGATCACAAGAAAGATGCTAGTTATGAGAAGGAGAATAATGAAAATAAGGGTCAAAAGAAAAAAGGCTTTCATAGAATATATCATAAGGATGAGTTTCAAGAGGATAATGAGTTTTATGATGATTCTAATAATGCGTCGAAGGCGAAAGAGAAGGGGAAGTCTAAAGTGCATATTGGAGGGTCTGAGGCATTTTTACGTTCTCAAGCGTTAGGAAGCGCTCAAAATGCAGAAAACTCCATAAGAAAATCTGGAAATATGGGAGATGGAAAGTTTGAAAATGATTATAAAGTTCATGATGGGTCCAATACCAAAGGAAATAAGTTTGTCAAGTTCATAGACGTGGCTAAACAAGCCGCTAAAAGTAACAATGCTGATTACTTAGACACATATCGAGCATGACTAAAACAGCAGGCCCTGAGAAACTTACTTAATAGTAAAGGTGGGGCCTACAAGAAGTGATAAACTGATTTACAAAAGACTGAATTAAAGTGAAATAAGGAACTTGTAACCGTTTTTGATACAAACAATTAGTTTAAGTATTATAAAAGTGATAGAATCAAGAACTGTACTTAGTTAAAGAAATGTACGCAGAGTTAATTTTAAGGTTGGAAACTAATTAATATTTTATTATATTGATTTATACCAGTCCACACTACAAAAGACCATTAACACAGCTATCTGTTTCTGTAGTTTTGCCAATGCTCTGTCGGGATCTATAAATTGATAGACTATAAGCATCATGTCCATCACTTGAAGAATCAGCGCTCCATCGTTAAAAGGCCCTCAAAGCACTTGTAACTCTTAAGTAGGAGAAGTCCATAGACGTTGGTAGTCATCAGGTGACCTGTCCCCGTTGGTCCCCTGTGTCATAATAAAACGACATAACTATTGATAGCAACTAATATTACTACTAGACAGGCAGGGTGCTTGTTTACTATTGTCCTACACGTTAAGTAAGAATTTAATCGTGTGGTACTCAAACGAGTTAAACACAGTTCATTACTACGATTGTTTAGATTTGAAATTGAGCTACTCATATATATGTCTATAATCCATGAGTCTTTAGTGTTTATATCTACGGTGAAGGTCACTCTCTCTGACAAAACATTATGTTAGGCGCTGTTTCCATCGTGGTCGCTGACAGGAAACAAGGAAAATATTATTCTCTTCGCATTAGTATCAAACATTTTCAATAGGCAGTTTGTACCAAATCTAATTTGTTTATTTTGTTAACTTTAACTGTATTCGGAGAGTCACAACCCCTATGCATGTCCGTGAGTGTCGTAAAAGCCGACTAAGGGAGCAAACTGAGCAGGACAACAGCACTGCAAACAGAAACAAAATTTCACACAAACTCTATAGGTATAGCAGGCCCAAACCTCCTTTCTAAGGAGATGCCTATGTCCAGCAGTGGAATATTAAAGACTGTTGATGATGATGATGTACTTAATAAGTTCAAGACGGAAAACGAGCAAATCTGTAGTTATTAAAATATATAATTTTATGTATTGGTACGCATAAGATGCGTACCGTATAAGTTAAGCTTCAGAACATTATAAGTAGTATATATGTATTTTAAAGTATGTTAAAACTATTACGTTACGCATTTATTCCTTTATGTATGTATACATCGTGGATCGCTGGAGTTTAAAAGTTACTTATTTAACCGTGCAATACCATGTTTCGGCACAAATGAGGGCCGGCTCGACTTCCACTAGTCGGCCGAATACCACGACCTCACAGAATATCAGTGTTGAGTAATTGTTTTGTTGTTTTACTTTGAATTCAGAGACTTCGGACCAATCCGTCATTTCGCTGTGTTTCGACTGTCCCTTCTCTAATCACAGGGCCGGAGAAAATTAGCAGATGTAGCAAAGAGGGATGTAAGAAATCGAGATTTTTAGCAGACCGTCCTACATATATAATTTACGTCTTGGAGAATTTTCATTGTGGTTGCCTATTCGACAGATTACAGTACATAACGATTACAGTATCATAAATACCGATTGATTCGCACACTAATGCAAACAAGAGCCAATCCACACACATGCCAAAATCGAGTTAATCATACTAAAAAACAAAAGTTGCCAAAATGGACATTCTATCGACGCTGTAAATCTCTGTAACTGTGACCTTGTAATGCAATATAATAATGTAGTAATAATGTCATGTAATAATAAATAAACAAAACATTGTCATTACAAAGTTTACCACATAAATGAAATTAAATCATGGTAGTCTGGAAATCTACAACACGTATTAAACAAAGTATTTAATATTATATTTTAAAATAACTTCTTCTAGGATGAGAAACAATTTTTACTGTATACAAAATTTAGACAAAACACCTTTTTTAGAAAATTATTGTTATGGTAGATTTTGATTTGCACAAATAGGATGATGGTAGGTGTCATGGGTACGTCTACACAAGCCGACACGTCTGCTATGTTTGCCTGTCTGGAACACACTCGCAAACGTGTAAATGGCATCCAAGCGTTTGTTAAGGCTTGGAGCTTGTGAACGTTTGTCAAGCCTCGGCAAGCGTGTAAACTAGACACCCACACATATTATACCTACATCATAGATAGATAGATAGATAACTCTTTATTTGCACATATTTGCATAATATGCAACCACTGTAAAACTCGCTCGTTTTTTATTAAAATAGACACATTTAGCAGTCAGTTGCAGTCACAGAGTTAGTAAAATTTCTTCAAATTCCAATAGGTTAACCACGTATTGACTAGACTATATATTGTAGGCTACCACGAAACAAGAGGGGGAAGTTACTGAAATCGGTAACGCACAAGTTAGTAGGTACCCTCAGTGTAAGCTTTTACAATTTATTAATAATAAAAATGTATAAAGTTATACCAAGAACTGGCATCTTACCTATAAAAAAAATGATAAACGATAGACTAAAGCATTTTTAAATATCACAGTAATTCGACAGATAGCCAGAAGTGCGATGCGACGCCCCCATTAAATGACACAGCAATGCGACTAATTGCGAAATAAGTCGATAATTTGCCATTGTAACCACTAGGTATTGTGGCACTAAAAACGTTTGTTTCGAACGGTTTTAGTGCCCTTTTATTTTTACCCTAGTGCATTTCAATGATATCGCTATATGCGACACTGTTTACTTACCTAAATTATATAAATTACTTTTTCGGTATCATATTTGTATATCACTTAATAATGGACCAGGGTCTTAAGATGAATGATCTTTTCCTAATTCTAAGACTTACTTTATAAGTAGTAGAAACAGCAATGCAAAAAAAAATAACGTTGTCGACTCCCGTGGACACAATTTAATTAAGAAGGTTAAGAGTGTTTTTGAATCTCTCAAAATTAACGATGACTATTTGTATTAAATCTACATTTAGTTTATAGGTGCATTTTAAATGTTGTATACTGTCCGTTTTGTGTGTAACTGTGTTGTTATTACTTAGAAATAAAAAATAAGACACAATTAAACGGGTCAAAAGCTGTAGTCCACCAACCACTTCTTGTACACTTCGAAATAATTGACTTGCAATGCAAATTATGTAGAAATATAAAGGTTCTTAGTATAAGTTTAGTTATTTTGTTATAAGTCTATTGTTAAATTTTGTATTTGTGATGAATTAAATAAAAAAAGTAAAACAATAACCCATTTTTATTTGGTAAGGAAAACCCAATTTGCATCATACAATTATATTTTGTAAAAAAAGTGTAAACACAGATAAGTACACCTGCCCCATTCAGACACACATCCGATTCACACAATGAATAATGTACTAAGTTTATCCCATATAATATGCAATTATAATATTATTTTGAAATAAAGAATAGACCAATTTAAAAAACCTTGAACGTCTACTTTCTTCTTACCCATTCGTTGAACCCTCTGTTAGACCACCCATTACGATGACCAGGTCCTACACGATACTCAAAGGCCCCACCTTCATCTGGTACTTGTGGAAACATTGGTAAAATGCTGAGTATTTTAGACACGGCTGCAGTAGCTTTGTCACCCAATGTATCAGATAGAGTATTTGCATTCCAAGGAGACCTGGCCAATCTCACGTTTGATATTTTGCTGTAGAATTCTTTGCTCTCCTCGTTATCGTCATTGAACTCGTCGTCTAGCTCACGAGCTTTCTGAGGCTCTTTAGTAGTTGATGTAGACTCATCATAGTAATCATCCTTTTCCTTTTCATTTGTTTTTCTTTGCTTTTCTGCCGATCTTTCTTTCTTAACTGAAGGCACCTGATGAGGTATATTTACTTTACTTTTAATTTTAATCTCCGGAGCTACAGAAAGTTTCGTCTCAGGTTTTGGTTTAGGCTCAGTTCCTCTGTGTTTGGCCCTTGGCTCCAAGGGCTTACCCCTGCCTATGAATTCGTCGTGATTCACATCGAAATCGTAATCATCTAAATTAAAGTCTTCGTCTTCATGTTCACCTGAATCCAACAACTTCACTGGATATTTGCTCATCTTCATTTGAAAATCATCATCATAATCCATTTCATTGTATTTTGGTATTGGTTTTTTTACAAGTACAGATTTTGATTTTCCCCTTCCATTGGCACTAGGGGCAGTAGTGATTGCTACAGTGGTGTTCTTTACTGGTTTATCGATACGCTCATTAGACTCTCGGCGTAGCCTTCTCGGGGGCTCAGGATTTTTAGATCCTATGTTGAAATGTCTTACCTTTCTGTTAAAGCTTGTGAAGAACTCATTACTATCTTCATTGTCGTTGTTCAATCCGAACATGTAATCCCCGTAGGCTTGCCTCGCAAGGCGTACGGGTGGGCTTGAACCTGTTTTAGTTTCGGTTGTCAATGTTCTGTCAGTGATTTTTTCAATTAGCCGCGAGTCTGATGAGATTATAGAACAAACACCAAGTGAAAAGAGCAATATAATTTTCATCGTAATATCACCGGTCGCGGACTGTGGGAAGTGTCGACTAGCGGCGTGGCGATGAATCAATGCATAATGTAAACTAAAAGATGTTTAAAAAGTATGTTTACATAGATGAACAATGTATTAAGTAAAATATGAGTTCGACTTACACGCTATTTATTTTAATAACATACATATTGTTACATTGTTGTGAATGAAAGTTAGGGTTCTGTACTTAGTATTTCAATGTAAAATGTGCAGACAATGATGTCTGGTTCTTTACATAAATGAATCGGGGTATAGAAGTTGAAAAAAAAGGAATTTCGAAGCATATAGTTTAATAAAATAATTTCAATTATTATATATTTGCAAAACGATTTGAATTAAAAAATTGCAGGATTTTACAAAGAACACAATAACTCGATCAAATTCGATGCCTGAATAGACCTAATCTATTCTTTCTAATGTCGAATATACAGAGGTCCACCTTTCATTGAGACTAGTGGCAGAGGTTATGTTTGTATCTTTTGTTGTACTAAACAATATTATTTAGAAAGTGGCTGTTGCAGAACGCGGTAGCGTTAAAACAATAGATTGATATCGATTTTTATATATACAGGATGTTACAGAGAGGCGAGTTAAAATGGCAGGCCAGTTTGTATAGCCAACAAATATTTTACTTATGACCTAAGTATGGACATATAGACCAGCTCGACAGGAGTGAAACCACATCCTTACATAAAATCGGTGTTGAGTAATTCTTTTGTTACTTTTCACCGAGAGAGTGGGGTTGCCGGAGCCCTAAATCCAAACTCCTTCTTATTATGCAGGGAGCATAATGAGCCCGTACGTGTAACTCTTGAGTAGCAGGTACCCATGGACGGCGGTAGTCACTTACCATCAGATGACTCGTTTGCCTTCTTATACCATAGAATAGTCACAAGTACGTTCCCGTTCTTACACACCTCCAGAATATTTGCAAAATCAGAGGGCCAAGTGTGAGTTTATTTCACCTCAACTCATTCTCGACGGCAAACGCGTTCGTCGTTGCGATTGGTGAAGATTTCAAAAAAGATTTCAAGATTTCATTTTCAACACGGTCACCGTTACGATTACTCAAAGTCACCACCAGTGTACCTCAGTTTCTTAACCAGGGTCGTCGTCAACATCGTGATTATATACCCTTGTATTTTGGAACTATCTCTGCCACAAGTATTTAATTCCAATGGCGTCAGCAAAAACAACGAAAAATAAAAGGCAACGAGAAAATATATTTAAAAAAAAAAGGACAACTCCCGCATTAGGAATATATCCTGTGTCGCGGGGGACTTAACAAACATACATAAAACGGACACAAAGAACACCCAGACTCAGATCAACAATTTATAAATCACACAAAGTGTCGTCCCATGTGGGGATCAGACTCACAACACTCAGCGTAGTAGTAAGCGGCGTGGCGACCGCTTAAACCTCTACGCCATTCGTAGTCATAGTTCACTATCGTATATATCGAGTTAGCTTTTTTTTTATTTTTATTTTTTGGAATAGGGGGCAAACAAGTAGACTGGTCACCTGATGGAAAGCGACTACCGACGCCTATGAACGCCTGCAGCTCAGGAGTCACAAGCGCTTTGCCAGCCTTTGAGGAAGGAGTAAGCTCTTTTCTTTAAGGTCGTATCGGTCCGGAAATACCGCAGCTGATAACTTGTTCCAGAGATTGGTAGTGCGAGGCAAAAAGTGGCTTGAAAAGTGCACAGTGGTGGAGCGCCAATTATCCAAATGGTGGGGATGAAAAAAGGTCAGGCTTTTTTGTTGGATTGGAATTAATACCTCTACTCGCCCACTACTGTAACTCCTGTACACCAGGCCCAACAGCAGTGACCTACAAACACACCGAGTTATAACAATTGGAAAAATCCAAATACGTTAAGCTGTCTTGGATCCCGTAATAGAATTAATCAGAAGTAAATTGGAGGAGTTGGAAATATGTCGTGTTATGTGTTGGCTTCCAGGCGTAAGATGTGTGGATGTGTGCAGTTAAAAGCAAATTGTATCACTCATGAATGACATCTCTGAATTGGTGTCCCAGCCACATCAGAGTATGGTGTGTAATTTTAACGAAAAGTCGTCTGTAGTTTGGACTTTTAGAATATTTTTTTATAGATCAGCAATTCTCTTAATTAATTTGCTTATTGAGCGTATTGTTTCTAACTTATCCCTAAATCGATCTCAAAACTCTAGTTTAACTAGACTATGATAAAATGTAGTAATAGGAGGAGGAGAAAAAAGGAGGAGTGTCTCAAATCTGTTGGATTTTATTGTTTGTAACCTCAGAACTCTGTCATTTGTGAATCGATTTGGAAAATTCTTTTTCTTATTTTAGAGCGTATACTTTCCATCAGGTCCCAAATTTGAAGTAAAAGTATAACCTCTAAGGAAGGAGACCTTTGGAATTATAAATATCCTTCATAATAACTCAATAAAACCTACATTGGTTTTATTGAATTAGTAATATGTTTTGCAAAGTTAATTATATACGTGTACTTGCAGACTTTTATTGTCTGATTTATTGATTGTCTATTTTTTCTAATTATTTAGGCAACTATCTACGAGAACCTTTATTTACAATTTGAAAGAAACTTAAACATAAATTTATTATTTCATAGCTTATATATTATATACCTATTATGTAGAAAAAAAGAGCAGTTTTTATACCTAATTAAGTTTAACACTAGAATGGCCTAAAAGTAGAATATTCGTTTTAAAGATATCAACCCTATTGACAACATCCATCACAAAACGAATGAATCAACTGTTTGTTTGTTTACTGAGCAATGCATAAATAAATAACAGAAAAGTGAGACTAAGAAATGTATAAGAGCAATGCGCTAGCCAACAACAGTTAGTATTATTTCAGTCAAGATGAAGAAACTGTTTGAAATAGTAACGACATTTCTTTGTATAAACTCTGTGACTCCTGTTCTCATGTATTATATATATGATGATAACCCCACTATTGGGTTTGTCGGTTTGGACAACGTCGTTGGAGAGTTCGTGAATGGTTACAGTTCTCCTAAAAAGCAGTTCACTCCGTCTTATGGCACCCGTTTCCAGAAGTACACTAACGAGCGCGTTGTCGATTCTCATTTTAAACTCATGAAATCACCATCCCGTTACGGTTTATCTACTCTGATGGACAGGAATAACGTTCAAAGAAAAAATAACCAAAGGATGACTGCATCGCCGCAAGCATGGCAACAGAACAATCTACAAATGATTACATCTGCTAGGCAGCACCAGCTACAACAGCAAAATCTGCAGCAACAACAACAGCAACAACAGCAACATCCACTTCATCAGCAACAGTTGCAACAACAGCAACAGCAATCGCATCAACAGCAGTTGCAGCAACAGCAACTGCATCAACAACAGTTGCAACAACAGCAACAACAACTGCATCAACAACAATTGAAACAACAGCAAAAAGAGCAACCTAAACAACAGCAAATCATACCACAAACTAATAATTCTCCGAGAACATTCCCTGGCAAGGCTCCCAAGAGTTACAGTGTGGATGCTAAAAGAACAGAGACTCGGCAGCATACAAATGTAAATATAAAAGAAAACAATATTCAACCTCTACGTCCTAAAGCGGTTACCGCTGAATATAGTAGCCCCGTAAAGCAGCGGCCAAGATCTCCAGAAACCGTCTACGAGCCCAAGTCCAACTTAGTTCAAATGAACGTAAGAAAAACACAGATACTGCAAGACCCTCAGAAACTAGTCCGATTGAATAACAATATTCAGCTGAAGGCTGCATCAGTTTTAGGTTCACAAAACGAACGCCAAAGAATCCCTACATCCATGATCATGGATAAAACATTACACAAGAGTAATGGACTGAACGATCGTAATATACAAGCGATGCCTCAAGGTATAAGCGATATTACTCAACAAGTCGCAGAAAGACGTCATAGTAAGAGAGAGAATAGAATACTGGACCCCAAAAAATCATTGGACGATTACGAGAAGGACAAACGCAGTTACATATCTGATAACATGAAGAAATATATCGGCAACGAAAAAACTAACGTTAGAGAACGAATAGATAGAAAAAGTAAAAGTGTTGAAATTGGAAAGATTGCAAGTCACGAAGAAAGTTTAGAACACAAAGAAACACCGTACGCATTGTTTTACAGAATGAATCCTGAAAGTGTGGATCAGCAAGAGGCAATTGTGTTGTTGAGATCTATGGAAATGAATGGTGGTCACGATTTGAGCAGCAACGAGCGCCATCACTCTGATGACTTAAACTCTAGAAAAAAATCTACTAGAAAAACTAATTTCAACGGAAGACGACTACAAAAAATGAAACTTTTGAACAACTTAGGAAGTCGGAAGTGATTTTTGTTTACCACCAGTAAACGAATGTGACTGTAAAATATATATGCTGTTATTGAATACTTTCCAATGCTGATGCAATGCAGTAACATCTCACAAACTGCCTATAAATATATTTTGTTATACACTACTATGTTATGCTTTTTATGCCCCATTGTAAACGGTGTTTAAATAAACATTATGATAATTTTCACAAACCTTTATTCAATATTATTTTCGAATGCATGTATGATCATTCTTTAGTTATAATAGTTAACAGACGGAGTGTTCGTTAAATTAGTTGTGCTAGAGCTGTATTCGTAACCAGTAGTCACGTGTGTCAATGTACACGGCTTTTACCTACAATGAACAAGTGCACGTCCAATATCGTTTTAATACTTTACGTTTGATCGAACGCGGAGCTATGCACCGTATAAACTAATACAGGGTTTTCCATTATCATTGACACAGAAGACCATTGCCCAATCTAGAGAGCGCTCTCGAGTCGGCCCATTTATGAATGTCAACGATCGATGCAGTATTATGTTCACTATATAAATGCTAGTCTTGACCTTAGCTGTCGTCATTATTATAGTAGACATTATTGTTGAAAGCATGGCGCGAAAAGTCGCCACGCTACTGCTAATTTTTGGTTACTGCTCCTGTATGGAAATGCGGGAGACAGTTGAACGAACAGTAATGGTCAGAACCACCGGTTCCGACCTTCAACCCGCCGCCACAGGGTATATCTACAAGAAGGAAAGCGATGGGCCCGTCAGTGTCACCAAAATGGGAGAGAGTGAAGTCATAGAACAATTTAGTAAGTTATACAACACACCTGAATCTTATGAAGAGTACATAGTGAAAGAGACACCTATATATTCAGAAAAAGAAGATGAAATTAGATCTAAATCGTTCTCAAGTTCACCGCGTACAAGTACGTCTCAAGGTAAATACACTACAGCTGCACATGAGAGTTCGGAGAGTCCCAAGTCACAAGACAGTGCGCCACAATCCAGCGCGACACATGCTAGCCAAGAGCCGGTAAAGCCCGTTGTGGAGAAGGTAGACGACAAGATCGATGGTATAGCTAACGAAGAGTTTGACAAATTATTCGAAGATTATATCAAACAAGTTAATTACAAGAATAGTTTTACTGACTACTTACACGGTTTAGACCACAAGGATCACGATATTTATCACGGGAATGGGCATGGAGATCAGGATGAGTATTACTTAAAAGGGTACGACTACGCAGAAAAAAGCCTAAAGGGCAACGATAGACATTTTCATCACGAGAAGGGAGAACCTAAACACGACTACCTCATAGATCACGGAAAGTATTATGTATATAATTATAAGGAACCAAAAACGGGCTTTCACGAGGACGATGATCATGCAAGGCATTTTATCAACAGGCTCAAAAGCAACAGAGATGACCACACATATGACGCCTCTCAAACGAAAGGAGAAGGGACTGATGGATTTCACGAAGGCCTTAAGTTGGACGAACTCAAGAAAAACAAGGAGTTTTATGATGGCCAAACGTTTAAAGGAACAAACCACGATTACGGAGTTAGAGGGCACGAGGACTATGGATCAGGAGCCAAAGGATACGATGGTAGAGATACACATGAATCGGGGCAGCACAATGGCTCTTTCAGAAAGAGTAATGCGGAAAAAGAGTCAGCAGACGAGTACGTTGGCGTACATTCCTCAGAAGACAGTGAAGAATCTGCACATGAGCACCCCAGAGCTTTTGGCATTAAAGATCAACTCGACACAAGGAAAAGCTACGGCTACGAAATTAAACATTAATTTTAATGTCTTATTGTTAGTTTTGTTGTTAATATATTATTGTAAATATGTTTGTTTATATTTGTAGATAGTTATGAAGATAAAATTAATTATACGTTTAACTACGTTCAATAATACAATGCCATTAAAATACTTGGGAAATAGCTACAAATTAGGTCTTGTACCTAATTTGTAGCATATTATCATATTTATCTGGAGACATTATTTTTTATTAGGAGGATATTATTGTCTTCAGACATTGAGGAGTTATTATTAAGTTTATGTTTAAATAGTTTTTGAAAGAAAAAATGAACGAATAAGACCAAAGTTTTGTATTAGAAATTATTTGTAGAATAATAAATACGTGACCAATTTAAAAAAAAACTTTTTTCGAAAAAAATACATGAGACTACAAAAAAAACAAAGTACTACACAGATTTTAAAAGAATGGTAGTAAAGTAGAATTGGTAGTATGGAGTATAGAGGCAAGGAGAAGCATCTCATATTGGGAAAGTTAAAAAAGCTTACAAGACACTTTTCATACACAGAAATGGTTCACCTTGCCTCTACCCTCCCTACCTCCATAAACCCTCCATTAATAACAATATATTTTATAAAAAAATTTTTTTGGAAATGATAAATTTTTAATTTACACATAATTTAACGAGGCTCTTTATTAACTCAATGTTTTTTTGGGTTATTTGATTTAAATATATATATGACCTTAGTAAGTTCAATTTATAGTCATAAAATGGACGATGCTAAAGGATTAATCAAACAGGCCGCCATTTGTTTCACAAATAATTACGGCTTTAAAATAGTACTAGCGACCCGCCCTAGCTTCGCACGGGTGCAATGTTTTATACATAAAAACTTTCATGTTGAATCACTCTTTCTATTGATGAAACTACATTAAAATCTGTTGCGTAGTTTAAAACATCTAACGTACAAGAACGGCAAGCGACTTCATTTTATACTATGCACAGATATTGACTACTGATTAGAAGGGGCAGAAACGGTTGAGTGGTTCGTTTGCGAGATTACATCGCAAAATTAATATCTTAGATGAGCGCCGGGCAACAAACCCCTATCTAGGTTATATTCAAAAAGTGTACATTCAAAATTTGTAACTAAACTGACATAAAACGATATTAAGCATAAGTGTAACGAGAGGCCTGTGTCCAGCAGTGGAATGTTAAGGGCTGTTGATGTGATGTGTAACGAATATAAATAATTTAGTTTCATTAAATACATATATCGCAGTCCACTGCTGGACATAGGCCTCTCCCATTGCACGCCACTTAGATCATTATGGGCTTCTCGCATCTCGTGGACTGCGATAGGCTGATGATGATGATGATGATGAAATACATATATAGTCAGTAATGTAAAAAATGTGAAATGTGACACTAAGATGGGGAGAGCTGGACGAAGATTTTTTTACCGGATTAATCCCTTCCACACGCCCACTATTATAACTCCTCTACACAAGGATTAACAGTAGTGTGACCGACGAACACACCGAGTTATAACACTCGGGCAGTCCCAGCAAAAACTAAACTTACTTGGAATATCTGTGATGGATGTTTCGATTCCCTATTAATTTGTCAGAAAATAATAGAATAGGTAAACATTGCTATTTTTACTTATAAACATAATAATATACATAGTTTAAAAAATGTCTACGAATGTACCCCACTAAAACTGCATCTTTGAGAAGTTTGTGAAAAGCAGCTTCGCTTATTGGGTGATTTAAAAGCTTATAACTTTACTGTAAACCTCATTCGGTTTGGAAATGCTAATAAATAAGCAAAAAGTAGATTTGTTGTATATTTTTATAAGTTTTATATCCTTCATAAACTCGTGTTGAAAAGTACAAAGCGCGGTCTCCCCTCTCCGAGGGTAGGTAAGTACCATTAGTTTAAATACTAAATACAGCCAACAAAATGCTTTTAGTTTGATGAAAATAGATATTAGTAGTTTAAAAGAAAAAACATAGCACAAGTAGAGGATGGCCATAACCATCCTCTAGTGGTGCTATGTTTTAAAAGTTAATTTATATACTTTTTTTTACGCAAGAGGGGGCAAATGAAATAATGGGTAGTAGGTTCACTGATCAGTCATATTATCAGTAGTTCTCTTTAAACGTACATTCTGTATAAACTTGTTGTATGACGTAACAATTAATGACGTCATTCTTTACTGTTTTGTCCAATCGTTCATTACTATCATTTACTAAAACTTAATTGACGCAACAGTAGCAAATAAAAGCACTCTTGCATAAAGAAAAATGAAAAGGTACAAAAAGGGATCTCTCCGGCGGGGAATCGAACCCCGGTCTCCCGCGTGACAGGCGGGGATACTGACCACTATACTACCGAAGACTTGTATGCCTTGACAAAATTTCAGTTCAATACATAGCGTAAACGCGGTAATATGTGTTAGCGCTATGAGATGACCTTTAATTTCGTATAATCTAAAACTTATAATGTTATCAATTCAAAGTAATATTTCTAGATTATTCTAATTAGACGCATAAACATATTATAGCCGTGTTTGAGTATCGGGTACAATATTGATAAAGTAATTAAGTAATTATCATAGGTACCGATTATTTTAAAGTCAAAACGTGTAACAGTATTCTTTCAGTTAAGCTGAGTTTTGCTTTATCGTTAATCGTTAGGAGCGTGAGGATAATTTAATATCCTTTACTAAACTGTGTCATCATAAACAATAGGAATTTATTTAAAATATTTATACATTTATGGTATGCAGATAACACTGTCTGTAATATTCTGTTCTTTTTTTTATGGAATAGGGGCAAACGAGCAGACGGGTCACCTGATGGAAAGCGACTATCGCATCCCATGAACGCCCGCAACTGTGAAACTGCCTGCAAAGTGTGAAGATAGTATCGGGTTCGCTTGGGTTTCATACTAAAAAGTGCTTTTACTATCCGCCACTTAATCATAGTCATAACACATATGTAATTATTAAATAATATTCTTTGCAGAACTCAAGAACTCGTCTTTATCGTAAAAATCACTAATATTGTGCGCATATTGACACACATGCCCAATGTGTGACGTTCTTATGAAACAGACGAATATCGCGAAAACAAATACCTAAAGATTTTTAACATCGTATATACGACATTCTTGGATAAACGACATTCACGTCTTTTATCCAAGAAGGGCTAGACAGAGTTGTATTTAACGCCCCTTTTTTTTACCTAACCTAACCATAATTTTAATCTTATTTACATAATTTGGACAAGCATAACTAACTACCGTCAACCGGGCAAATATATTTTTTAAGTAAACATACTTTTATATTGACATAAACATACATATCATATATATGTATATAATATTAAGTTGGTACAAACCAACTTGATATTTCATATATATAGTGCAGAAAGTTTTTGAAGCATACATGCGTATGCTTCAAAAAACTCGAAAAGTTCTGCTCCGGTTGAACTAAACTTTGACACAATATGGAACCCGCTTTATAGATGGTTTTTATCTATTTTTCGCGTCAGTTTTGTAACTCCCTTCTCATAAATGGAACCACAATATGCCACAGTGAAGCGTAACTAGTTATAAATAAATTACACCCAGACACAGAACAGGAAATCGTACTCGTCACGTATGTCCTAGGTGGGAATCGAATCTTCGACCTCTGGCAGTCAGGATTGCTAATCACTAAACTAAAAGGCCAGATTTTTAAATATAAATAAATTAACAAAATGTAAGTATGTTATTATAAATCCGTGACATGTTTGTATGTATATTTTTACAAAGCAAATTTCATCTGTGACTAGAAATGTCATTTGGGATTTTAATTGATCCCCTGTACTTTACAACAGCGTGTTAGTAATGGATGTCGTCATTGATCTAACCATATTAACCGAATAGATGCCTGACAGCAATTGCGGGTCGTTTGGAGCCCTCTAAGGTGAGGTTTAGTTCCGTGATCACAAAACGTATACATGTAGTATCTACCGAATAATAATATTTTAATAATATAATCTTTTCGGACATCTGACACACAACGACATCTAGTTTCAAACTAAGCAAAGCTTGTATTATGAATGCTAGATTGACTGATAGAATATTAAAATACTTTTTTTGTAAATACATACATAGAAAACACCCAAACTCCGAAACAAATATACCAGATCATTCAAACATTTGGTCCGACCCGGAAATCGAACCCGAGACTCAGGTCTCGGGTTCGATTTCCGGGTCTCGGGTTCGATTTTATGCGACTGCTGCGCTCAGGCGCAGCAGTCGCATAAGCTACCACTGCACCACCGAGGCAATCAAGGAATGGACTGTACCAAATGTGTTTATCAGCTCAAAACTGAAATGATTCTATAATGCCTGGTCTTTACATATCTGAACGCCTTCATGGCACAGTTTTAGTTTATGTGAGTGAATCCATGAGACTGTTTCGGTGTTTCTTATCATATATATAAAATATTCTTATATATAAAAGTTCTGGCATCATCTAGTTTTACCGAATGGTGGCTGAAACAATCTAATTTATTTATCATTTATACATGAAAAGATGATAGCAAAATGAGCTACAATCAGTTTATATTTTCTGACCTTGTAAGAACTAAATTACTTATTATTAGTGACATAATAGGTCATTGCAACAATTTATTGATTGAACCACTTCGCGTAGGCTCTTCGAGAAAAAAAAAAACAAGTTCACGCTCATTTCGCGCTGCGGTCAACATTACACAATAATAGTAATTTTTTCATTACCGACCTCTTTGTCACTTACAACCTCGTCTGATAACAATTTGTTACATGGCTGCAAGAAAGGCGAACTAGACATATTCATGGACCTTTCGTCTCTAGCTTAGATATAAATATTGAGCAAGAAGCTTATCAAATTATAACAGTTCGAGTAGTAGTACGATACACATCTCAACATGGCAAAAACAGCTTTGTATATACTTTTGGCTACCACAGCTGTGTCCGCCGTACAAGTTGGAATTGCACCTTCAGTGGCTACAAGTTACATATACAGAAACGACAACAATGGGCCAGCTAGCTACGTCCAATTGGGACCACAGGCACCTTACCATCCAGCTCATGGTGCATTTGCCGCACCTTTACCTTTGGCTCAACCCATCAAAGCATTCGAAGCATACAACCTTCATCCGGTCCCTCTGCCGTACGTGGCTGCCAAGCCTATAGTTGTTGAAGACGCCGAAGAAGACGATGAAGATGACAGTGATGAATCTTCAGAAGAATACCTTGACGGAGGAGATCATTTGGAAGGTCTGAGCCATGGAGGTCACGGTCATAGTTTTACCAAAGGCGGTGGTAGTGACTACGGTGAACAACATCATTCTGCCCACGGAGAAAAGGGCGGTAAGGGATACAAAGTTCAAGATCACCATGCTAAAGGTGAATCGGGACATTACGGCAAGGAGCATCACGAAGGTCACTACGACGAAGCTAAAGGTGGCAAGAAAGGACATCATGATGAAGGTGCTGTCCATGGTAAACACTATGAGTCTGGTGAAAACTACAAGGGCGGTGACCATGGGCATAAACAACACTTCAGCAAAGGAGAAGATATTACTGGTTACCACAAGGTGTTCCACAAGGATGAGTTCAAGAAAGATCACGACTTTTATGACGTTGCCGATAACAGTGGACACTACAACAAGCATGCCTCTGAGAAAGGACACCATGGATCTGAGAAAGGTGGTCACAAAGAAGGAGGCCATCAAGATTCAGCTTTCGATAAGGGTGGTTTTGGGAAAGCTGGATTTCATGCTAAGGGACATATTGATGATAAGAAACATGGTCATTCTGCTGAGGCAGGTAATGAAGTTCATTACCACGAAGAAGGCGAGCATGGGAAGAAGGGTGGCAGTTCCCATGAAAAGGAATATGAATTCGCCGAAGATGATGATGATGATTACGAAGACGAAGACCACGAATAAGACACTTGGCATTGACTATTGTAAATATCTGTTACCTATTTAATTTTTCAGCTACTTAATCTATTTGTTATGTTTGATATTGACGATTCTGTACATATTTTTTATTGAATGCGAATAAACGAATATAAAAACATTCATGGATCTCATTTTGTCCCTGTTTTAAGTTAGGAATTGTGTAATTTTATAGTAACTATAAGGTAGTGTTTTGCTGTTTCTATTTTTCGATTTCTTAATTCTGTCTAGTCTGGCTGTTTAATGGTTAGTGGTCCTTAATTACTTCTTGCTGAGTCGTGGATCGTGGGTTCCATTCCCACCTAGGTAAATAAAAAGTATGACGAGCTTAATCATTTGTTCTGTGTCTGGGTATAATTTAGCTTTAATGGACATGTGGTTAACAAGTATGTTTCACAGTAGTTTGGTTACCGTTGTGGCGAATTCCACATACAAAGAAACAGAAACATACTACAGCGCCATCTAATGAAGACACCCCGAACAACGGAGTAACTCCTAAATAAGAATTGCTAATCCTGTATCGCCATATAAAGAATTAAACACAACTTCCCAACATCAACCGCTGGGCCGCGGCCAGCCAAGCATGGTCACCTCGCCTGGTCTTAGGATCCTCCCTTTGTGTTGGAGGGACATGAAACCCTTTCCTCCACAGAGGTGACCCCGACGTGATTGGAAGCAGCCTTCAAAGCAGATCCGCAGCAGCACCATCGCCACCATCTTGTACACTCCCACAGCGATGAGCAGTACCAATCAAGTCTCAGCCAGCCAGCAACCTCGGCCACAACAGGGATATCACCTGCAGGTTTCCTCCACACCGTAGTACAGGCACTGCCTAGTTTGCGGTAAAATGATTAAAATTATTAGCCGTGTATGAGATGTGTTAAAATAATAATAATAACTTCTCACACACGGCCGTCTGATTCCAAACTAGGCAGAGCCTGTATTATGGTAACCACACTGCTGATAAACATACATATATATTTTTAAATACATACAAATTATAGATAAATTACACCCAGACACAAAACAAATGATCGTGCTCATCACACAATATTCGTTCTAGGTGAGAATCGAACCCACGACCTCCAGCTTAGCAGGCAGGGTCACTAACCACTACACATTAGATTTATTGCTACTTTTAAATTTGGTCACTGTAACTTCACCTGTTATGAATATTTACTTAGATTTGGTCATAGACAAAAAATAATGCCATCAAATCAATCAATATAATCAATCAATCAGTGTGTATGTGTTTAGTGTACGTATATACGGTCAGTAGATGTAATTACTTACTAAATCTATACTAATATTATAAAGCTGAAGAGTTTGTTTGTTTATTTGTTTGTTTGTTTGTTTGAACGCGCTAATCTCAGGAACTACTGGTCCGATTTGAAAAATTCTTTCAGTGTTAGATAGCCCATTTATCGAGGAAGGCTATAGGCTATATATCATCACGCTAAGACCAATAAGAGCGGAGCACCAATGAAGAATGTTTCAAAAACGGAGAAAATTTATTACTATTGAGAGACGCAGACGAAGTTGCGCGGGTCAGCTAGTAGCAATATAAAGTAATTACTTGTTGCATTTTTTTCTGGATGATTAGAATACATTTTTTTTAATAATAATAAATTTCTTCGTCTGGAGCTCTGGAGGCGGTATGGTATTTCATAACAAAAAAGAAAATTATGGCCATGTATAGCCTCATAATTGGTATTACTTCCATAGCTGTCTTTATAAATAGAATAGAATAGAATACCAGTTTATTGATTTCAGCATATTCTCTTGTAGAAATATACAGAAAAATATACGAAGGGTCTAAGCGTCAACTTATGTTTGGACTTCACATGGATAACCAAGCGCTAGTTTTCAGCTTAAACCCTTGACTCCCGTTTACAAAAAAAAAAATTAACATATTAATAAAACATTTGAAGAATTTCTTCGTGATCATACATTACCAAAGGTGTTAAAAAAATGTGTATTGTTTAAACACAATGAGTATGGGCAGTGGGGGAAGGGCACAGTACATGGCTACAAGGATGTAAAAACCATGTTATAAGGAGTGTAAATTAATTAAGTACATATATAATTTTGTTATAGTATTAATTTAGCATAATACATAACACAATAATTTCGTCAATTCATATCTAAAGTAGTCGATGTTTTTGGATTTCATTTATAAATTGTTTACATTTATTTGTAAAACTGACTGTGTTCTTTATAGATCAAAAAGGAGGTACATATATTGTTCCAAATCTTTTATGCAGCATATTTGAAACTGCCTTTATAGCCCCGTATTCTATATTTCGGTATGATAAGTTTTAAAATGAGACCTAGTATTCAAGTTGTGCGCGTCCGCACACCAAGATAACTTATCATATAGATATAGTGGACATTTGCTTGTGATTATATTATGAGTGAAACACAACAGATTTTGGTGTAGTCGCGATTGCATATTAAGTTGTCTCTTTTCGTTTATAATTAGGGAGATGTGCGACCATTTAGGGAATTTATAACAAAAGCGTATACAGGCGTTTTGGACACGTTGAATGCATTTTTTGGTATTTTGACGAAGCCGTTGTCCATATGCGACATAGGTAGCAATAGTTGAAAGATGAGAGAACCAACAGATCTGATAGTAACTTCCTTACGTGCTCGGCCCGTAGAACACATTCCTCATAAGATTATTAATATGTTTTGAAAACCGTAACTCTTCGTCCATTAAAAGCCACAAATTCCTTGCAACAGAAACTCTTTCAAGTACTTCCCCATTAAGTCTTAATGGTATACCGTCTGCACTCTTTATTTGGTGCTTGGTACCCATCAACATCCATTTTGTTTTTGAAGCGTTAAGCACTAAAGTGTTTTTTTTTTAGACCACTCAAGGATTCGCTCCAAGTCACTTGATATAATATCTATGACCTGGCTGGTATTGGAGGGTCTAAATGACATATAAATTTGCGTATCGTCCGCATATATGTGAACTTTACAGTATTGTAAAATGTCTAGTAAATCAGCTGTAAATTCTACAAAGAGTAAAGGACTTAAAATATAGCCTTGCGGGACTCCTCTTACGGTGAACAGCATCTTTGACTTAACGTTATTGCCCTGGCCATCATCTGTATTACTTCGATTTCACATTTTAAATGATTGTCTAAATTAGATAAATCTTATTTTATTTATAATAAATAACTGACCGTAGTAAAAGAAATACACGAACTTTAAGCCTTGACTTAATAGTTTTCCGTATTAAAGAATCGCTGAAATCAATTATTTTATTGTTTCTACTCGCTTTAGTACGTTACTAATTTAGTTAATTAGTACATAGGTCAAAAGTAATTAAAAAACTTCAAGATTAGATAATTATAATAAACTAAAAAACGGGTTTATAACGTAAAGATAATTTAAATATTTTTTGTCTGTTTGTCTGTCTGTTTGTTCCGGGTAATCTTCAAAACGGCTGAACTAATAATATTTGATAATATATTACTACCAGGTGGCTCTCTATATAAGGAGTAACTTATACTATTATTCCTCTCAGAAAAACCCTACAAAAAAAACCGGTCCGGGAATAGAATCCTAGACCTCGTGGACGTGTCGCGTACCGTACTTCACCACTAAGGCAGCACTTTTCAAATTCGACGGGAACGAAGTCGCGGGTATATAATTTATTATTATAATAAAATAATTTGTTATTCAAGATATGTAAATAAGTAAATGAAATAATTTATTATTCAATAACTGGCTTTTACTCGTAGTAAAAGCCAGTTATTGCATTTTCATATGGGATTAAGCAATAGAAGTCGGACTATGTAGGACAACAGTACTACAAAGAGAAGGAAAACTTAAAACAAACCCTTTTTTTAAGTGTGGTTTGGGGCGGGGTTGTGTGTAGGAACTTAAAACAAACCCTACACCCTACCTAACTCTTCTGGCCGGCGTGGCGTAGTAGGCCAAAACCCAAAACCTCCTTGAGTGTTTTCATTTACGAACATGCACTGCTAAAGTTGACAGCCGTTTTATTGTATTTCGAACTAAAACCTTTCGGGTTTCATATTCTTTATATGTTCAATTAAAAACTAATAGGTAAGTCATGTTCTAATTACTTCAAAAAATTACTATGTACGTAAACGAACGAACGTAACGTAGAGTATTTGCCACTACAAGAACTATTGTATAACAGAAAAGTAATGAACAGTGAATAAATTTTTCACCTTACGCTCATGTGATGCCACATGTTTTGACTAAGGTATAGAGTTTGAGGGCTTGTAGAGTTAGAGCGTGTAGAGTTAGAAGTTTGGCTTTACATGAGATCTGATAACATTTTGATATCGCGAAAAAACCCGCGGGTTTTTAGAAATTTATCTGGTATAAGCCTAACCCAAGTTGTAAAGGTAAGAAAAAGGACCAAGCGCTTCGAAAAAAGTCTTTACGGGAGTACTACTGTGCCCCCAGATATTTCATCCAGACCAGTTGCGACTTTTTAATTGAAATAAATACTTGACATAAATTTAATTTGACAGCCATCAAACATAATATTATGTAATAGGTTTGTTTTTTAATTTACAGCATTTAAACGATAAGCTAGGAAATGTAAAGCATAAAATCATTGGTCACAGTACGTAATTTATTTACGAAAATAGAACAACTAGGTGACTGTCTTATAGTGAGAAAGGGAAAGTTGGTGCTAACTAATAGTCCGAAGTGCTATATTAAAATATAATTACTAGATAAAATTATCGTTGACGTAATAATGAAAGTTAATATTCTTTATTTCGTTAAATTTTATAGGTGTGCCATGCTAAAATAATAGTTGTTGATTAAATCATTAATAGGAAAAATAATCACTCATATAAATACATCGTCCTTGACCGATCCGAATCATTGCACAGATTACGAATTTAATCAGGTGTAGCCAGAAACGACCTAAGAAACATTTATGTTTAAGAAAAAACATCCTTGCCTGCTTATTCAAACAAAAGGCTATATAAGCCTAACGTTTCGCATGTATGTCAGTGTCGCAACCTACTTCATTTAGCCAAGAATTGACAAAAAATTAGGTCGTCATGCAAAAGAAAATATGTTTTATTGTAACATTGACCATCTGCTACTACGTTAAATCATCGCCAGTGAAATTAGATACTCTCCAATTTGACAATCTTGATACAGATCTTTCAGAATTGGGGTACGAGGTCGAAGAAGAAGATTTGGATGACTTTTCAAAACTCCTTGACGATGTCGACCGAACTTCAAAGTCCGGTAGTGAAAATAGTCAAGACAATGCGAAATCTAATTTAAATGTGAATACTTCTGGATTTAAGAAGAAAAATACAGAGAATAAGGGTGTGCAAAGTAAACACAACATCGGTGACATCAAAAAGTTCTTCAACGCAGCAGGAGTGCACGATCAAGGCTCATATGACGATGCCGACATCTATGCGTTAGCGGAAGGCATAGCAGCTGCAGTCGTTGGCACCGACGGCAATGAAAATAGGACATATAAAAAGGGTACTAAGACAAGGGGATTTCACCGAGTGCACCATAAAGATGAATACAAAAAAGATCAAGAGTTCTATGAGGATGACGAAACAAGTGGAACAATCAAGAAAGTTGGAGCAAAAGCCATAGGCGTTAAAGTGGGAGCTGGAGCAGATTTTAATAAAGGTCACTTTCATCATGATCGTCAGAAAGGAGTCTATGGGAAACGTGGATATCTTGATAGAGGATATTTGAATGCAGATACCAATGCATATTCTGATTCGGAAGGATTTGATGGATCTTTTAAAAACAGTAGTTAAGTAAAATTTAAATACATATTTTGCATGTATTTAGCCAATAGCTTGAAAGTTTAAAATGAGAATTAAATATTTAAAGTTTTCCAAATTCTCTTAAATAAATTTACGTTAGCACATTTATCTACGCAAGTTTTATTTAAATTAAAACCGGTTAACAACCTTTTAGTATCATTTACGATTAACATCACTACAAATAAAAGCATGACGTGTGTCTATGATTAATAGCTTGTCAAGTGCAGCTGTCATCATCTTCGTCTATAGTCTTTGCACCACTGCTGAAAGAAGTTAAGTGTTTGTGTTAAATGGTTTTGAAACAAAGAGATTTATACGAAATAAATGAGGCTCGGTAAAGATTTCCAGTTTAACATTACTCATGAGTACGGAAGAGACTCTATTGAATCTCGATTTCGACAAACCAAACACAATAATTACGCCGCCCGATGACGGTGTGGTATCTTTATCGAGTAGTTCAGAAGAGATTTGTTTAGTGCCAGAGGTCGGGTTCGAAGGCAACGTGGATTCGCCAGGGGTAAACAGGGAGTCCCAGCCGCTGTTGGGCGGCCGTGGAGACTTCGAAGTATCATTCAACCATTTTCCAGGTATGACTAGATTAAGTCCTTGTATCGTCCTCCTACTTACTGAGTCATATAAGGCATAATTAATTGAATGAAAATGACTTAATCTTAAACATATATGTAATATCAATAGATAAATGTATAAGCTATATACAACACTTAAGAGACTTCATAGGACTTTTTGTATGGCTTCTAAAGAAATTGAGATTCTTTGACAATGCAATCTGTTTAATTTACTATTTATATTTTCTTTTATTTTAAAGGCGTTATTAAACACATTACACTCATGAAAACTAGTTAAAAAAAAACAACAAAAATACATGTTTGGTTGTTATTGATTGGGACAACTTCAGGCTATTGTTTTTTAAAAAAAAATACACACATACATATAAAATACCTGAATATAGCTGCAAGCAATTTTTCAGTGAAGTGTGACGGTGGTGTGTAATAGTTTTACGGTGCTAATGTTACTTGTTTAATAAACAATGGAAGGACCTTTTGAGTGTAGTGAGTATATAATATATAGTCAATAACCTCTAGGAACATATGTCAGCTATATATATTTGGCCAAGTGATCAAAATAGGACTTACTTATGAACCATATGGCAGTGCCACTGGACAGCATACAATTTGTTTTTACAAATTTCGTTTATTTGTATGTATGGTTGTGAAAATATTCATTGTTTAGGTATCTGTAACTAGTTTAATTACTAGTACAGTAATATCACTATATTTAAATAAAAACATTTCGCAATTAGCATTCACTTGAACTTCTCAAATATATTGTGAAACCTTTCATTGTTCCATATGCTACGTCATTAAGAATAATTAATTTTATTTTAATAGAAATATGTATATGTATTAAACCATTACTTAGGTATATTTGAAACAGACCCAAGTAATGTTTAAATACAGTACTCAAACGTTAGGAATATACCTACATAGTTGCATGTTTTTTTGTGTTGGTATTTGTATAATGTAGTGTAACTTAACTACATTACTTATTTTAATATTCTTTTGTAAATATCGTTAAGATATCTGTTCCCTATAGTTTTATTAGCGTTTCATTTCAGCGTGTTGCTCAGCGCTTTGATTTATGGACATGTAAGTTGTGAAAGTTGTCTATTTGGTCCACTGATCATATGCATTTACAGCTGTGTCTAGTTGTCACCTACGAACCAATTTATTTGTAAATTGTAACGATGTTCCTCGAAGTAAATTTGAGAAATTTAAAATGTTCAATATGAGAATGTTACGAATTTCGTGTCCTTAACATAAAATACACAGTTGCTACTAAACATTACGGTGATATGTATATTTGTCCGCCATGTTAATTATTTTCTTTTTTTTAAATAATCAATATCCTGCATCTAGTCACACATTGCTGCAACACTCTAGTGTACACTGGGAGAAAATGCCTTTTTCATTGAATCTGCCATTGTTCAATTCTTATTCTTCTTTATATAAGAGAATAATTTTGTCAGTGGTTGCCACCTCGGGTAACATTACTTTTGTTCTGTACAAAACGTAATCAGTAACTTTTCTTTTTATCCTAGACAACAAGAACACATAACTTCAATAAGATTAGATTAACAGTATAGCAGTGAATAACATTTATACAAACATAACATGTTGTTGGTATTATATAATAACAATTTTCTCTTAATTATGTTTAAAATATATTTAATTACACCTCAACTACTACTGTTCTTAAGCCTAGTAAAAAATTATGTATACTTTCTCTTTGAAATCATGTTTTAACTTTTATAAGTTGCCTAATTGTTGTTATATTGAGATGGTAGTGACCCATCTCAATATAAGTTATCTATAAATTAGTTGCTGTTCCTATTAATTATGTGAGGTGTGTAGGGAGGAATTAAATTAAATTAATGAATTCTACTTTCTTTAATTTTAAAATCATCATCTCAATGAATTTTTCCATTGAATTGAACAATGAATTCTAAAAGGTATAGCTCAATAAATTACCTAATAAGAAACATGTGCAAAGTCAATTACTTAATATTACACGTTTATGTAATGATGTTAAACCAAAAACATTTTTTTCAAATAGCTCTCAGACTTATCAATCAATATGTGAGATTATTTGCGGCCAATAATTATCTAGTGAATAAGTAAATAAAATACAAACTGAGTACAATCATATTTGATTCTATAGATGTTGTGGAAATTCTCATTCACACTGCTGCACTTTAAATAATCAGAAAACTATGTTTACTGCCCCGACATGCTTTGTTCTGTCAAAAGTTATTGGCCTGTTGCCATCCAATAGAAAAATTAATAAATTAAACATATTTAAGAGTGATCACTTTTCTTCGGACATTATTTTAGGCAGCTATTGATTAATATCCATACAGGCCATATCAACTTGAAGGCTACCAAAGATAACCCTAACGCGACTTTGTTTTGTTTTAAGGACAGGTGCTATAATTTACTTACTCTATGGTTTGTATAGGGAAAGAAGTGTTGTTTTTAATATTTTCGAAACAAATCTGTAAATTTTTGGCATGAGATATACAATTGTACTTGGCTTTGTTTAAGAGCAACAACCTGTTGATAGTAATTGTCTAATTTTAACATTTTGTTTTTTTTTTAAGTTAATTTGTCAATTTGAGAATCAATCTAGGATATCAGTATATCAGGATAGACAATGATACAGGTGACACAGTTGATATGATATGGACATACATACAGTAAATCGTACAGTACAGTACAATTGATAACTAGTGTAAATACAATTAAAGCCTAACTATAATTGTACATATGAATATAATTTTGGTTTATTTTTTGTTTGTTACCATTTCACGTTATTAACTGTGGGAGAATGGAGCTCACTCACTCCAAACCTTCTGGCGGCAATACACTTCTGAGTCTTTTGACTTTGGAGTGATACCACGGCGTCACTGAAAACCGCTGTGAAAGCTATTTTTTTTATGCTTTTCACCGAGTCACAGAACAGGAGTTTAAAACTTCCATTCGCTTCAATAATAGGGGAGCGTTTCACAGGGCGTCGACGCTTGTGACTCTTTAGTTGCAAGTGTCCATGGGCGAAGGTAGTCACTTACCATCAGGTAGCCCGTCAACTTGTTTGCCCCTCGCCACTACCATAAAAAAATTAACTTTCAAGTGTCTCAACTAAAAATACTTTATGTATACTTGTCACCTTACTGATAAGTATCTTAAATCCAAAAGATGCTGTGCCAGAAAAACATAAAAATTGATTTTAAGCAAAACCGGCTGGTTTCAAATAAAAAGGAGCTAGAATATATCCTTGTGGGACTCCTACAGTAATAACTAGTTCACCATATGATCTTTATCAGACTACTTAACTATTAACAAGGTAGATATGCGGGTACGTTTTATGTTAACGAGTAGATATCGGTTACAGTCGACTTTATCATCCACGTTCCTAACTAACTGCCAAGCTAGTATCTGCAAATACTGTTACTTTATGTCTATTGACTTATTTACTTTTCATCGATTCAATATGTCAACTGGCAAAATGCTTATAATAAAAAAAAATACTATAAAATAACCTCATGCATGTATTTACCAACCCTGTTTTGCCAATATTATTGTTTTTAATTTTTAATCATTTTTATCTTTTTTTTTGTTGCCAACTCGTTTGGGACGGCAATTTTTTTCTTCCGAACGCATATTCGGAGGAAATAGATTGCTGTCTCAAATATAAGCAAGTAACACTGTATACTTTAAATCGAAAACGACGATGATAATGTATACGGAACAATAATGTATAGCGAAATGTGTAATCGCAACTGGCACCCACAGGACAGGCTTGCCTAGTGTGGGGCCACCGGCAATGTATCACATATTTCGTACTTTTCGTTTTGGTAATAAATGATATATAAAAAAATACGGATATGCATAGTTAATTTAGACAGTATTCTTTTACAGTTCGGTATGATCTTTCTTTTCTTATTCACAATAAATACATGTTACGATATCTAAAGCTCTGTGAAGCAGAGAATCGCTGTTCGCTGCAAAAACTACCAGCACAAATCAAATACGTCAACTTCCTGGCTGCTGATTTATTGGGGTCTGGCATTGTGTGAGGTGGTATAGCGTACCAACTCTGGTTAGTGTGTTCAGAAGGATACCTAAAAAAGGATCTTTTGCTCTAAAATTTAACAAAACCTTGTGGAAACAAGTATTTATTTCCTACATTCGATTTGGTTTTAAATTTTGTCAAAATCAAATGACCTACGGTCGAATTTCCACAACGGTTTTCATAAAGAAACATTTAAAAATGTTTCCAGTTGCCAGAAAATGTTTACTTTTAAATTTATTTGTGTTTTCATAGTCTTGATATTCCTCATCGTAATCTGATGATACGTAAGCCGATGAAATCTTTTAAACTGCTATTTAATCTCAACTCTTTTCTGATACTACTGGAGATCTAAGTTTGCTGTGCATTTTCTGCTGCTTGTATTTATTTATTTATTGAGACTTCCTGCAAACATTTTGCATAAGGCGGACTTAATGCCACAGTCATTTTCTTCCAGCCAAACCGTAACCGTACCGTAACCATAACCGGTGTTGCAAAGCTGTGTGGCAGGTGTATATTTAGGACAGATATTTTCGGATGTATAGCTTTCCACCTTAGTTCAATGCGACAAAACTCCATCACTACCTATACACTTTTAAAAAACTTTTCAAGTCGCACAGCCAATCTGATTAACAAATTACCAAACCTTCAATAAAAGAGCGTGCTCTTACCTCATAGGCCATTTCAAGAGTCACATGTAGTTAACTTGTGACTCGTGTTTCAGCTTTCCTTGAGCAGCTGTGCCATTTATCATCAGGTGATCCATTTGTTCGTTTGCCACTATATCATAAAAAACAAGATCTGAATACACAACAATAGTGTACTGCTAATAAGTGTTTGTGATATAAAGAGGTTCTCCTCTGTTTGGATTAATATTTCTAGAGTTATATTAGTACATGCATACACTTCTTTAAAGACAACTCCCGCCATCCAGTCACCT